GTTGAGCAGTTTCCATTGTGACTGACTGACCTCTCGAATTTTTGTCGGAAATTTCAATCAAATAAGCTGGGATAATCAAAAGAGTTCATTTCGTGATGGCTGTGGTTGTTGTGCTTATTGTTGTCGAGATTTGTGTTGTCAGTTTTGATTGTTGAAATTCTCAGTAAAGTCACAAATGTTATTGAATGCAGTTAGAGAGAGCATTGACTGTAATTTGAGATAATGGGTAAAGGCACGACAAGTGTTGCGGTTGGTGCACCGGGTTTGTCGAGGAAGACCGCATACGAGAATCGCATGCATTCACTGGCCACAGAAATGAAGCAGTTGGGTAAAACGAACAAGGTATCGCGATGTTTTACCCTGAACTTCTGTTGACTTCAAATGAAATTGTTTTCGTATCATTTTTATGATTTATTCGAATAATTTCCATATACGAATAATCGTTGATGGCAAAACGTTTGTTGAGGCATAATTTTTTAGATTGTCGATCGTCGTTTGGGTGAACGTGACTCGCATATGACACAAGAAGAGCGTATCGTGAAACGATTCACTGCCGAAAGACTGAATGCGTTCAAAAGTAACAAATTCCAGCTGACGGATCCTCAAGGTTACCATTGATGTTGTTATGATTCTTTTATGTTAATCGTTGTTTTCAAATATATCTGACATGATTACTGTAAGTGGAGTGATTACCTCTGATAATGTCTCATATATGTATCGATGTTGAATTGGTGCTGTTCGCTCTGAAAAAGTACAATTAAACAAAGATTGCATGGATTATCTGATGCAATCGAACTCGGCAATTGTTTGAATGTTCAGAACGCAACTTTTGGATTCTGAGATTTGTCGAAAGCCAATGAAAGCGTTACGCTGTGAATGCTAATCATAATAATTGTTTCAGATGAAGACGAGCTCACTCATCGAGGCTCAGCTTTGACGGCAATTCAGAAGTATGATCGTGTGATGAGTGATGACGAGGATGATAATGATGCTGAGGCAGGCGCTGGAAATGGTCAGGTATCTGCTGAGGTTGTTAGTAGGACACATTTTGGTGGCGGTGACATCTCAACTGAAAGCCAAGACGACGGTGGAGATAACAGATATTTGAGAAGGTTACAATTACTTTGAAACGTTCATTCGAATGCCTTTAAGATTATTGTTATGATCAAATATCTAATAAAATCGTCCATGTGACAGTGTATCTGATAAAGTCACCCATATGACACAAGTCAATTATCAGAAAACAAAAGCTTCCTGCACAATACAGTCATAGTTTTGAGCGTGAGATGGATTCGCATGATAATCGAAGGATATCCATTTCAGTGGCACATAATCGCAATCTTTGCATTGCATTTCATCGATCAATTTGTTTTTTGTTAATGGTCATTTTGAGTAGCATAGCATTGTGTTACTGTTGGTCTATGAGTTCGTAATCAGAAGGCGATTTGATGTGTTTGTGAATGTTTTGATGTGATATTCGAATGTTGTGTTTATTTTGAAGGAAAGAGCTGATCGCCGAGTTGATAGCGAAAAGTAAACAGCAACGTTATGATAAACAACTGGCGCGAGATCAGCAAGAGGATACTACTGAACGATTGGATGAACAATGGAATAAGTTGATGCACTCCGAAGCGATCCAATCGTTCACCAACGCACCAAATCAACGAAACAACCGGTCGAACCAAATCGCCGCCGATAAAAGTGATCCATACGATCAACTTGTGAGTAGTGACTGATTTCGTTTTGTCTACGAGCGATATCCGTTTCATTGCAATATTTTAGCAGTTGAAATTTTTGTTGATTTTGTTGATTCTGAAGAGAGTTATAGTAGCAGTAAGCATTGCGATGATGATGAGAAGAGTAATGATTCTGATGAAATAAGGGATTTATTGTGAGCATTTCAGTTCACTGAATTGAAATTAGACACGAGTAGACGTGGTGAAGCAAGCGAACGTCAGAAAACCGAAGAAGAGATTGCGCGAGATGAACGAGAAAAATTGGTGGAACTGGAGAGAGAGCGTATCGCTCGAATGCACGATCACTCGGATGAGGTGATTTGTAGTGATTTGTTGTGTGGATTTTATTTTGTGTAAATTTGACATTTTTTGATTTGACATATTTTGAAATGATTTAAGCGGAAGTCGATACGCGACACTGACAACATCGAAGATTTATCATCGTCGAACGCAAGTAAGAGTAGAAGGCAGTCTGGTTTTGAGGTGAAATACGATGAAACGGGTAAATTGATCAATCCAGATAAGGTTGGTGCGATTGTTGCAGTTGAGGGTTTCGTTTTTGCAGGGAATTTTTTTTTAGTGATATTGTAATCGATGAGGCCGGTTAGTGAAATATTTGCAACATTTCTGCAATCGCTATGAGAGTTTTGTTCGCTTTTCCTTAGACTTCAACGAAATAACATAATTATTATGTCGGTGTATCGTTATTGATATGATTCGATGCATTTAGCGAATGCTCTGATAATTGATTTGTGAACTGGTGTGATTTGCACTGGAATGATGCAGTTAAAACTTTCATAAATTCATATCGCTATGTGATGAAATTTTTTGAGAAATAATTTGATAGCAGCGAATTCAGGTGAAACGAGCACGTATCAAGCATATACGAATTGAAAACGAGTCGTCAGATTCCGACGAAGATGGCACTTATTATGAGGAGATCGATGAGGAGGAGGAAGCAGAATTCGATAACGTTTTTGGGAATATGAACGGAGTTGGGGGCGACGAGGACGAAACTCACGAGGATCATTTAGAGAGGGAACCGGATAGTACAGCAACACTTCAGCAGCTGCCATCTGGTACGGTTTTTCTTGAGTTTTTTATTCGATTAGGCATTTGTTTATTCATTTCTATCCTAAGAATTGTGTTATTCACACCAACTTCAACCACCAGAAAACAATTGAAATTTATAAAGTGAAATCTTATTCAGCCTTAACGTAATCTCACAAATCATTTGTTTTGTAAGTGAAGTAGGTCGATTTCTAACAGATTTCAAATTTGATAAGGTTGTCTGGCGGTTTGGTGGTGGTGTACTTGATGTAATTGTTTGATTTGTTGCATTTGAGAAACGTCAAAAGGAGCGATCGATTTGCCGTACGTTTTCGAAATGCCATCGTCATATGAGGCACTCGTGAAGCTGTTTGGTCAGTACAAGTGCTCAGAACTAGCTGTGGTGATTGAACGTCTCATTAAATGCTATCATCCAAGTCTTAAAGAGGGCAACAAGAAACGACTCGCACGCCTCTTTCTGTTATTGCTTAGGTTTGTTGTCATCACTGCTTCATTGGGATTTATTTGGAATTGATTTCTGTAAGTGGAATGATTGTAGTGATGTGCTATGATATGATATGATCGTTGTGGTGATTTTATTTGTGAGTTTTGTATGAAGTTGTTATTGGAGTTTCTATTTCAAGTATTGCTAGCTTTTTTTTCAAAAAATATTTTTAAGGTACTATGATAGCTTATCGCAACAAGGTGCTGCAAGAACGGATACAATGGGAGTATTGCTTAAAGGTCTTTATCCACTGCTGAAGGTTTGTTATGTCTGAATTTTTGTTTTGGTAACAGAAGAAACAAAAATTTAGCATCGCTATGCTGATAAACTGATGTAATGAAAGATTGCGTTTCATTGTAAAGTTCTTCTATATGCTATTATATAAATGGGTCGTTGTGTAGCCAGTTCATTTTTGGCGCTATCTGAATCACATTTTTCTACAGTTGCACGTATTTAGAATTTCAATTCTGATTGTTTTACTTGGATGAAAATTAATAGAATGGGTTTGTGTGTGTGGTTGAATAGGTATTGGAATGAAACTGAACGAGAAACTCATTGAGACCGATTCAGATGGATCGAGAGTATGGTGCACGATGTGTGCGTGCACTGTTGAAGCAACACTGGCGATTGTACACGGCGGATCGTCATGCGCCGATTGGTTTTCGTGCAGTGAGTTTGGTTCGACTGGTGGCTGCGTTATTTCCGGTTACGGATTTCTTTCATCCGGTCTGCACGCCGACCTTGTTCTATGCGACATCGATGCTTGGAACAGTGCGAGTGACGTGTCTACGAACAGCGGCACGTCTACTCGTCCTAGTCGCGATGATCACTGAGTATATTGTTGAAACGAAAAGGTTACTTTTGTTTTTGATTTTTTTTTTGAAATTGATTCGTTGTCAAAATTGAGGATTAGTCGGATTCGTGTATTGCTCAGTGAAATCTTATTTATTGTTAGATAATTTTGGTGTGATTTTAGTTGAATTTATTCAATGAGATGTGATGTGTCAATGTATGAGTATTTGTCGTATTGAGTTGATTTTCAGTCATAAAAATGT